GGTGTTAAAAGGATCTGAGTGACTTTGACAAGGACCAAGCCGTGATGGCTGGACGGCTGGGTCAGAGCATCTCCAATGCTGGTATGCAGCGGTTAGGATAGACCAAAAGTGGGCCAAGAAAGGACAACTTGTAACCCGGTCGCTCGGTTATGGGTACCCAAGACTCATCAATGTGTTGGGGGAACAAAGATTGGCCCATGTTGTTCCACACCACAGAAGAGATGTTGCAGAATTTGCAGAAAACCTTTTTCGTGGCTGTGATAGAAAGGTGTCATGCTGTGCATCACAGCTTGCTGGGAAGCCGCTGACTGGTCAGACCGCTCATGCAGAGCGCTGTCCACTGCTTACAGCACCTACATTGGGCAATGTAAGCTTCAGAAGTGGACCGTGGCTCAACACTAGAAGCTGTCCAAGTCTGATAAATCCAGTTTCTTTGGTAACATGTAGACACCTGGATGGACCGTTTACCTAGAAAAGTGACAGCAGCAAGAAGGATTATTGGAAGAAGGCAAGCACCCAAGGCAGTGTGGTGCTCTGGGCAGCGTTCTGCTGGGAAACCGTGGGTCCTGGCATTCGTCTGGATGCTATTTTGACACATATCAACACATATCTGTGGGATGTGGTGGAAAAACAAGTCCAGTCCTTGGAGGTTCCAACCTGCAGCTTAGAGGACTTAAGGGATCTGCTGCTAATGTCCTGCTGCCTGATACCGCGGGACACCGTCTGGTAGAGTTCAGGCCTTGATGGGTCAGAGCTGTTTTGGCAGCATGGAAGGGATCTATACAATATTGGAAAGACTGTTTCAATCTGGTATACGTTAAAAAAAAACCATCACTGTACATTAGCAGGAGTGAGGACAGCAAAAAAGTTTAGCTTTCTCAGGTTATATTTATCTTTGTAAAATCAATGTAGCAGCTTTATACAAACCCTATATTTATTTTCCTAAAGAATGTATCACCAAATGTGTCACTTTTCATCAATTAACCTAACTTTTGCTTTCTGTTTTTGTGTAGCATGCCTCCAGTGTTCGCGCTGCACTTTGTGGAGGGCCTTCCTGACAATGATGTCAGTATCTACGCCTTCAACTTCAAGGGGAAACGCTACTCGGTCACCACTGTCATACAGTACAACCATCAACTTAAGCACTTTGTCACCTGGGTTTGTAAAACCGATGGTACGTATCTTAAGACCAGTTTAACATTTTTGTGTCATTAACTTTGACTGTGAACCAATTTTACAACATGTTTAATGTATTATATGGTTGATTCATATGAAGGTTGATCATGAATTCCTCAACAGTGTAGTTTGCCAACAGCACATTCTGCTGGACAGTTCATGTAGTGTTAAACTAGAGAAAAGACAAACCATTTAGGGCCTGTTTCACTATCATTTAATGAAGGATTTATCTGTGTCATGTAAAATCATTCCCAACAATTTATTGATTATATTCTTAGTCTGAAATACGTTTTGATGTTCTTTTCTATGCGCTAATGTTGTCTTGGCAGAGGTGAAAACTATGATTAGTATTAGTGAGGCATTGTCTTTTATTTGCAGCATTAGTTTACATATGACATATAAAATCAAAAGTAAATTGGATAACTAATCAATTATGACTTTGTCCTCAGAATTTAATCACAACTTATATCAGTAGAAACATTCATGCTGGATGTGGTCTTTATTGTTGTAACTGTTTGTTTTTGTGCCTTCTTTTTCCTATAGGGTCATGGCTGGAATATGATGACCTAAAGCACCCAGACTGTAAGAGCCATCAAAAGCTCCAGGTCCCGGCTCAGGAGATGCATGTTGTCTTCTGGGAAGCAGAGGAGAGTGAAGAGTCTTGTGCCTATTCTCCCTCCACCACATTTGCTGAATCTCCCCCATCTAAAAATGAAAAGCTCCCCAGTTTAAACAGCAAAGACTTAACAGCAGATGAACTGTCGGCTTGCGCTCCAGATAAGTCTTTCCTTTTGCCTCATAATGACACAGACATCGTCTCTGCACTCACATTGTCTGAAGACAGCATCAACATCACGGACACAACAGTTACAGCCGACGATGATACGGCGATCGGTGCCACAACGTTGCTCGACACCTTCGAGGGCCTTACCCGCAATGACATCATTACGCTTACGCTGTTGGAGGTAAAAGATCATCCGGAAATGCAGCCTGTAAATGACATTCAACAAACTGAGGATTTACATGTTTCGAATGAAGTGCTCCAACCAACACCAGATAGCTCCTCCACTGCAGTATGTAGTGAAACGTGTCCTGTGCCTGATGTTGAGCGTCCAGCCACCTCCAGCTCATCTGACCCTGAATCAGTCGATGACTCGGCTAGTGATCCATCGTTTGTGCCCGGTGCAAGAAGACAATGTGGGAGCGGAGCTGGCAGAAGAAAAGCTGTTAGGAGAGAAAAAAGTAAAAAGGAACCTTCATCAAAAGCAGCACAAGTTACTTCACCTCCAGCATCTCCAGAGCCCCCCAAAATACAAGATGACAAACCTGTGAGTCCTGCTGTTCAGGATGACACACCACCTGGTGAAATTACACCGCAAGCATCCCTCGTGTCTTCAACTGATGCCGCACCTCTGTCCCCCGGTCAGAAAAGCCCTATGACGCTAGATAACTCTCGCTGGTCCTTCTTGCTCCGCAAACACCCTCAGAACCTTTTTAACAAGTCCATCGCTAAGCTTGCCCCCGACCACACGTCCACCTCAGTCACACAAGGAAAGCCCACTCCTCCTATTCACTCTACCCCCAACCCGTTGAAAAAACAGCAGATTGCTGCGGGACTCTACCCTAAAGTACAGCTCAAGACAGAGGATAGCGAGGGTCTCCCACTGAAAGCTGCAGAGATGTACAGGGCATTCGGTGCAAAGAGCTCAAACACCCAGAGTCCACCCCCAGCTCTGCCCACATCTGAACTGCTGGAACCAATCGCTTCCAGCCACCTAAAACGTACGACAGTGATGCCACTAACTGTGCTCCCTGACATCTCCGCTTTAAAGAAACATGGCAGCCAGTCCTCAAAGGTTCCCCTGGGTCTCAGCAGCACTGAAGCCCTCAGATATAGGCTGATGAAGAAACTGAAAGCAAAGAAGAAGAAGCTTGCCAAGCTGAACAAGCTTTTGGGTGGTCAGGATGGAGTTGGCCTCCCACCGGACAGCACCGACCTGCACTCTCCCAGCACTGTCACCTCCAGCACCTACGACGGGTCCACCTGCGACGACTTCCTGTCAGACCTGCTCTCTCCAGCAACAACAGCCAGCAACCTTTCACCAGACAGCACCGGCTTCCTGGAGATGCTCGCCAACAGGCAAGATGGAGCTGACTGTGTGGTCGGCGCTGCTGGTGCCATGTTGCAGACTAACAGCTGCACCAACGGGGTCAACACCGAAAACTTCCTGGATGAGTTTCTCTCACAGGCTGTTTCTCAGAGACCGACCGACATGGAGACCGAGGCACTGAGTGCACTTGAACTTTTCATGTAAACTGTAGTGCTGCATGTTGTCTGCAGGCTGCAAACACAGATAACCTTGTTTGATAATTATGCAAAATTTTTCTACAATCGACACCTCATCTGTTTGTTGTTTACCAATGTGTTGGTGTGTTTATGTTGCAATTAATTTACAAGCACTGATAATGTTTGTGCAGAAGTCAACCATGTTTGAGCTTGTCTGTTGAGCAGTGAAAGGAATTTGTAAACTGCGTCTCTTTTTGCAATTTTGGCACTTTGTAGTTTATATAAACTGTATATAAATGGGTTGTACGAAGACACTCTGTTGATGGTCAAAGCTGTTTGTTTGCTTTGCCTTGTTATTTTGACAAGTTACTTGAAACTTCTTTTAGTGTCATTTAATAAATGATCTAGATGACTCCAGTTTGTTGTTTACAAATGTCACTATTTTTATTAAGTGGAACAAAATGTTGCCACCATAATATCTACTGCAACTTTCTTGAAGAGGAATGATGTGCTCATGTTCAGGATTTTCAATATTAAAGTCCCCGTGTTTACCTGTATACTGCAGAGTTATTTGTAAAACACTATTTTTCTCATTGTCAAATTTGTTAATACTAGAATTTAATGCACTGTTCTACCTGGGAAGAAAAAAATCACGCTTGTTGGCAGGCGAAGGTGATATCTCACTTGGAACCATAATATTTATGTTTGGAGTAAATGTTTGGATGTGGCTTTAATTTTTTTGATTGATTATTCTTCACAGCTAGGTGAACTCTAGGAGAGATGTTATTGTCATTTATTTTGACTATTGACAGTGAGTCTAACTTAGCTCAGTGTGAGGATGATGTTGGACAACACAGAGTAACCATAGACATGGCAGTCCACATTGCCTTCATAATTAAAATAAACATAGCTATACGGTTTTTACAAGCCATCAACAAACTCCCATTTCCGTTCTCAGTGTAACTGAACATTTATGAATGGTTACTATAACGTTACATTTTAGAACACTGTGATTTCCGGGGTCAAAAGAGTCGTTCCCATACCGGGAGTCGAACCCGGGCCGCCTGGGTGAAAACCAGGAATCCTAACCGCTAGACCATATGGGACTTGATGACAAAAGGCAGCACAGTCAGGACTTGTTTCACTACGATGCCACAAATTTGTGTACAGATCTCGAGCGGTTATCCTTCTTCACAAGACTCTGCCGCTGTTCACATTTCGCGTTTGCTAGTCGCGCCATCATCCTCTTTAATTACAATATTAGCATTACTGCTAGTTGCCGGTCTGCTAGTTTGAGTTAGCTTTAGTACTACACCTCCTTAAATGTATACAGATGAACTTTACATGTCCGTTTGCAAGGCTGCAGAGCTAAAAAAAATAAAAGATAGAGGTTATAAATAATGTAGTTTCTATTCTTTATCTTTTCATCAATAATTTGACTTAAGAAACATTTTTTTTGTAATTACTTTTTTATTTTTTTGTGCCTCTTTCTGTATGTATGCCAATCATCTCTGGATAATGAATTCATTAATTGATCTCTAATATCGTCAAAATGCATACGGTTAATAACTGATAACTGGATACTAGCAGTTTGTAAAGCAGGGAGTGGCTTTTGCTGCAATCATTCATTTAATATGAAAAGGTAAAAATAAAATAAACTTTTTTTTTTTTAAAGCAGAGAGGAAACTGCATTACCATTGAAAAGCACATGCAGGTGCTGTTTGACTGCAGGTAAACCACATCACAGTGAGCCAGACAGCTTTTAAAAAGCTATGTTGTACTTTTACCCTATGCTCAAAACCATTTTCACAGCATACAAGTGATGGAGAATAACTAAGTACATTTACACAAGGACTGTATTTAACCCTTTCACGCATAACACAGTTATTCAAACTGCACCTGAAACCACTATTCCTCCAAACACCCAGCGGCTGATCTCCAAAGCTCTCTATATTCATATATGATCACTATCAATGTTTCTTTTCCTGAAATTTTGCATTTTTAATCCAGAATAGTGGATGGTGATTTTTCTGCTCTACTACATTTATGTGACAGCAGTTATTACATAGGAAAATCAAGACGTTGTTGATTTTACTTGGTAAAAATAAGTCTCAGTACTTTGACTTGAAGTTTTGACTTGTCACAGAGGGAAGAACAGCTGAAGTCAGTATATGATAAATATGATAATGATAAAGCCAATTCAAGGTGTCTGCCATGAAAAATCCTACTTGTCTCAGGCTTGTTGTGTCCCATAAATAATATTAGCATATCTCTGATGCATTGGTCTTTTCCAGAAGTTCTTCCAGAGACAACAGAAGGCTTATGAAAGCCAACGGTGATGTAAATTAAATTTGCAAAACACGCAGAGGAAGTAGCAGCAACGTGTTTGTACTTCTCTGTATTTAGAGAGAGCATTTACATAAAAAGGAAGCCACAAACGAGTGTGTATGTGGGATGGAGGTAGGATGGGGAGTACATGATGTCATAAAGAGAGAGAGAGATCAGGTTTATGATCTGCAACGGACTCTAACTACGCACTTCTGGATGTGAAAGGCAAGCTTTGTCTCCCTCAGCCTCAGCATCCACCTGCTCCTGCAGCTCACAGTCATCATGGAATCCATAGTGGTGGAAAACATCTACCTCCTGGTCGTCGTCACCCTCATCAGCGTACTGCAGAATGGTGAGAAAATGCAGGCTTTTTGAAACTCTAAATCAACTGCTATAATATGTTTAAAAGGATTCCAAAATGATTCCTTTTGCTTCTTGATCTGTTTCTGTGTTTTCAGTGTTCTTTGCTCAGAAGGTAGCGAGGGAGTGCAAGGGTCATAACCACCACACAGCTGCTTTTGAGCGAGTGTCTTGTGCCAAGTAAGTGCCCTTTCTTCAACACTCATTTCTCCGATGAACCATCTTTACCAGTGGATGACTTTGTGCTTTCCATTTGGGTTTATATAAAACACCAAATATGTGCTCCATCGAGAGGTAGTCCTTTTTTTTCCTGAACACTCCCAGATGGGGGGAAAGTTTGTACAAGAGCTCATTTGAATGCTCACTAACAAAGCAGCCACAACGGTTATGAAAACTTCCATTCTTCCTGCTTCTCAGTTAGTTAGTTGTTCAAAAAGATGGGGAAAAAAACTGCTCATATATTTACAGTCTGTTGCCTGTAAATGTTTCAAACAGCTGTTTGTTTTAATAGTTCACCATTGTGAAGAGTAGAATTACCAGACTGCTCGACTGATTCTCATTTCCACTTTTAAATATAATTAGTGCTGAAACAGACACGCCACAAATGAATAAGTTTAGAATGATTTTGTTAAATGATGGTTTCAAAAAAATCTGAATATGTCACCTTTTAGGCTTTTGGAAACAGCAAACCAGTTAATCAATAAAGATTTTAATTAAATTTAATTAATTGCAAAAATAACACACGGAAAGTAAAATGCAATAAAGGAATATATATTGTTGCGCCTGTGAAATTTAAAACACCCAAAAGACATCTCACCAAAAAAGGAAATAACCTAAAAAGGCAAAAATCAACAGAGCAGGCACAAAACATACACAAAGTTTCTAATAAATGTAAATGCAAACAATGGAAAAGACACAAGATGCACAGACTTGTCAGTTGCTAGGATAAAATATTAGTAGTAAGAAGCTCACCACATATAAAATTCAAGTATTTAGTCAAGTATCAACTGAATAATCTTTAAACCAACACATGTAAAAATAACAATAATACATTTAAATAATATAATTAAAACAACAATGAGCTGCAGTCGTACAGATAACAACTCTTCATGCTGCACATATTTTGACAACTAGACTAAAGCTGTAACTTCAAATCCAATATTTCTAACGGCTCAGTCTTTCGTCCACCAGCAACAACGTACTTCTTGTTTTTGAAAGGAAATATCTGAGCCACATCCTGTCTTGTAGGAGATGTGAAATAAATCACAATCAGTAACCACTAAAATGTGATAGAAACATTTTAGGGCCTTGTCTTTAATTGCTTGAATATTACGTAAAGTAGCATCAGTTTATCGACTTAAATGAAGTTTGGATCAGAAACCATTTGTGGTTTAATGTGATCGGGTGAAATAAGTCACCTCCGTGGCTCTTTTTATTGTTGTTAATCTGCCATTTATCAGCCAATGAAATGTTTTTTTGAAAAAGTAGAAAAAACTATCTTGTCTGAATTGTCTTTGTAACAATCCACAGTCCAATATTTTCTTTCGAATGCAGCAAAGAAAAGCAGAAAAAAAACTCACATTTGAGAGGCTAGAAATGCAAACTTTTGCTTGAAAAAAATGACTGAAACTGAAAATTCATTATGTATATAGTCGTCAGGTCATCGTCTAGTTGTTGCAACTCTACTTCATCAAAGGTCATGAAGCAGAATGACCTAAGGACTGAACACTTAGAGCACATACCATCTGGGTTACAACGCTCTGACCTGGCCTTCTTCTGGCTGTACCTTTACTGCACATCATTCACTCTTCCCATGTTTCTTGTCTGCCTCTTAACTGCGCACTATGGAATAAAGGCAAAAATGCCAAAAAGAAAAAAGATTTTGGCACGGCTGTAGGCAGGAATGATAAGTATACAGTGATTTGTGTTTCCCAGATTGTTCAGTTTTAACGATTTTAGGAGCCTGAAGAGGTAAAAAAGAAAAAAAGAAATCAGAAAAGGTATAAATAATTTTGAGGAATGTTTCTTTTTTCTCCCTATTCTGCTCATAAAGAATGGTGTTGTTTTGATTAACCGTCCTGACAACTGGAAAAGGTTAGAGGGACACGGCTTTGTGCAACATACTGTACTGATTATTGCAATTTATTGCAGCAGTCAGTAAGCGCTGACACACACAGAGCGGCTCAGTTTTTCCTGGCTTTCCACGTCAAGTTTACTCCTCAAACACTCAGAGAGTCACACTGGGTTTCTCATAGCACATGCGCTCTTATATACATAAAGTTCTTTTGTCTTTCTTTCTTTTCATACCAACTTTTGCTCTGCAGTTATAAAGCATTTCCTCATGAGTCACCGGGCCGCCTGCAACCGACCTACGATTGCTCCATATAGCTTCTTATTGCAGGTGACTTCCCTGAAATGTGCTAATTACACTTCTTTCTTTTCTTTTACGCAGTCGTAACTGTATGGATGCTTATCCCACTTTCCTGGCAGTAATGTGGTGTGCCGGTCTGTGCCTCAGTCAAGGTAATCATTAACCAGTGTAAAAGAGACACTCACACCTTTTATCATTTAACAGGACACACCTACAGATTTAACTGAGATAAGACAGATCAACATTCAAAAGGAATTTTTGTTCCCTTTCCATATATTTTTCAAGCATAGAATACTGCTTTACTTGTTTCTGAGGGTATTCAGATCTGCACCTGAAGTGAAATCTGAAAGATTTGCACTTTATGGAACAGGAGGTGTGGATATGTGAATTGTTTTATTTAATTCTAAAATCGTTAGTTTTAATCTTTTGTTGTTGTTCTGTTTAACATGACAACATTTGTTACTATTCAGGTCACCGTAAGTAGAATTTAATTGACATAAAACATATTTAGATTCACAGAATTGTACTTCATCTGCCACTTTATGTCTCTTCAGACCAACACATGATAAATTACTCACACTTTTCTGTGTCAGAATACTTTACATTTCCATTCAAGTATAAGTTGACATTAGTCACGTTTCTTCAGGGAGGTAAACCTTTAACACAATCCAGGTTATCAGTGACACCTCTTGGACAGTGTCAACATTTGTTTATTCCGTTCCAGCCCTCTGCCGATTCTTGGTGTAATTACACATTTATAAACCATTAAACTTTATTCTGTGGGTTGGATAGTGGTTCTCAAAGTGGGGTTGAGTGTACTTTGATGAGGTTATGAGATGAGTTCCATAAATCAGATACCTTTTTTCTGATTAGAAATAACATATTTAGGGTCAAAACTGTTCTACAATGTAATAAAATAATATATGTTGCTCATTTTACACACACACACACACACACACACACGCACACACACACACACACACACACACACACACACACACATATCACACATATCACACATCCACATTTGTATGCTTCACCCACCTCCGGGAATAACAGCAATGATAATAAGAAAAACAGTACTTTGGAACTCCACAGACGTTTGTTTCTTTTGTTTGTTTCTCTCCTCTGTTTGAAGCTCCTGCTGCCTTTGCTGGGATCATCTACCTTCTAGTCAGGCAGAAGTACTTTGTTGGATACTTGGGACAAACCTCTCAAAGGTAAATCAATGCATGTTTTTGATGCTTTTAAAGGCGTTGCCTCACGTTTCATTTCTGTGCAGCACGCCAGGATACCTGTTTGGAAAACGCATCATCAGCTTCCTCTTCCTGATGTGCATCGTGGGCATCTTCAACTACCTGCTGGCGCGTTACTACGGCAGCGACTATAAGGACTACGTAGAAATCATCACCAAGGCCTCCTCCGCTCTCCTCCTTATCCCTTAATTCAGTGTTTGTCATATAGCTTGGGAGCTGTTGCAATCAAACGCTGTACTCTTTTCCTGTTTTTCTAAAAGCGTTTATTGTATTTGAGGTTGGTAAAATAAAAAAAATATAAAACACGCTGATTCTTAAAAGTGCAAAAGTATGCAAACAATTTACTTTTGACCAGCACAGATTTGACCCTTTTAACCACCTATACAGCACAACAGTTGGAATATTTACACACATAAAAATCTGTTTATACACATTGCTTGCCCAAACAAGCTGTATGCCATTCAGAATTTTTCAGCAATGTCAGGGGACTCCATCCACTGAACATTACAGAAATGTGGACCTCGCTGCTAATCTGCAGTCCCCAGAGGTAGAAAAGTCCTTCACATGGCGGGCTGGTGTTACAACCACACATCTGTTGATCAAGAAACTCCTTTTTCTCGGTTTTCTTGAAGAAGCGGACACAGTCTCTGCCAAACAATGAGCAGATAATCTTTTCTTTGCACTTCATCCACAGCTGGCTCATGTCAGTTTCAGCTGGAAATGGCAAATAGAGAGCTCACGTTAGACAAGTGCCTACTGACAAATCTAAAAAACAAACTAAAAATATTAAGAAAATGCAAAGATATTAACCTTAAATGTTCTTTTGCTGAAGCCAAACCAGTGTGGGAAGTCAAAGAGGGCATCCGAGTAGTATTTGAGGGTGAAGCCGGCGTCTTTCCACATGGGTTTGACTTGCATCATTTCGTCAGTTGTGAGGTTTTTCGCTGCCCAGCTCTCCAGCTCCTCAGTCAAGTCAATCTGAAATAAGAAAAAGTAACTTTCAACACTAAAATCAAGAGCCAACCAAAAAAAAAAAATCACAGTGTAATTGTAATGCATCTAAATGACATAAACAGCATGAAGTCATGCTTACATCCACCCTGTAGCTTTCCCCAGCCACGGAGGAGATCGTCCAGTCCAGGCCTTTCTCCATCTGCCACTTGGTGAGAGGACAGCTGCCATCGATGGACACCACAAACTGCTTCAGCACTGAAACAGAGCCAGAGATAAATCATGAGGAAAACAGGCGAGAATACAGAATAGGGGAGAGTTTTGCAGAAAAAACATGCTGTAACGCAAGCACTGTGCAACCATTGTAATTTGTCCACCCCACCCAGCTGCAACCAGCCCGAGTCTGGGAGCCGGCATGAGTCACCTCCACCACCAGACTGCAGGCAGCCAAGAGCTGTTAAGTGGCCGACTCACTGCCTCCAAAAAACACACATTTTTGCAAACTAAAAATACCAGAGCTGCTTGGAGGACCACTGTTTTTTTTTCACTATGTAATTATTTCAGTATAATTACAACCAAATAGATCTTGATTGTTTTTTTTTTTTAAAATTGCCCCTAGGGTATAAATAAAGTTATTTGAATTGAATTAATCTTGATGTCTGGGTAGAGAATTACCTCTGGCTTCACCGGCTGCACTTTTGTTCTTCGTTGATAAGTTTTCCTTGCAGGCAGACACCAGCAGATAGACAGTCTTGGACAGCAGACTCTTTCTGATGCTGGTGTACTCCCACAGATTGTGCATTTTGACTTTTCTGTAGTGAAAAACACATCAAGGAGGTTCATGTGAGCCTTTTTGTGGATTCAAACACATGCAGAGTGTATATAATATACAAAAAAGTATACATCTAAAAAGTGTGTCAGTTTTTCTTACCTTCCCAGCGAGTTCTGAAAAACTATGTTCCCCATGCAGGATTGGAAATCATCGATGAGCACCATGTTCTTGTTGTCGGTGCTGTGGATTCTGTAACCCGAGCTGAGAGCCTCCACAGAGAAACCAGCTGGTGGTTTTCTCAGAAACTCCTCCAACTCTGTCACTGTCATCATGCTGTGGGACAGTTTGCTTATCGTCATATTGTCACTCTTTCTTTGTGTACCTCATGCTGCCGCTGCTGCTATTTGTACCGCCTGCCTCAGAGCTGGAGCTTTAAAAACAGCCTCCTACTGAGGTCAAGTTTGACGGGTTTCACTCACGTGACTCCTGGTTGCCTTCAGCCAAAATAAAAGCCTTCACTAGAATACTTCAGGCTGCAGTGTGTGAGGGGTTTTAAAATGCTGCTGTTGTGAAGACATAAAGCTCTGCAGAAATAGTAGTTTCCATGAAAAAACAATAATGATAATAATAATAATGGTTTAATAGAGAAAACAATGAATCAAATAACTGAGCAGACAGCTGGTAGCTGAAGTTTTACAGTGTTTCAGCTGTGAAATGTCTAAGAAGTAAAGATGAGGAAGAGCAAAAGAAAAATGTTGCTAAATTAAGATGAAATTGCCTCCAAAAAATAAAAGATTTTGCT